TTCTTTCATTGATACCTCTTCGATATATTCACACATTACTCGTTAATACGAAGCATGATGTACCGTCTCTGTTAGCAATTAATTGTTTGCGCCCCTGATGGTGACGCCGTTATTGTTCATGTGGAAATAACCATTTGTAGAGAACAAACTTCGCTTTCTATCACAGCAGCTGTCATTGGGCCAGGAGCAGTGTCGGTCGAGACAACGGCCCACCGTTGTGCCTGTAGGCCTGCGGCTGTAAAAATCCTTTCGCCTTCTTTAAGCGGCGTGCACAAATGCAGTTTTCTGCCGTATCCTTTCAATAAAAATGACGAAGCAGCCGGAAGTTGGGGCAGCGGCAGTGGCTATGATCACGGACCATGACTACTAATCTGTTAATTTACTTGATTCAGTTAAGAAGAGTGAGACAAAAAAAATACACGAGGATCTGACAAAAGCCAATGATGTCGCACATGTTAGTATGTAGGATATATTGATACATACAAGTACTTAAACAGTGCCCACACTGGATGTCCGCTGGAGGCTTTTAAAAAGAAATATATAGTAACAAAGACGTTGAGTTATCTTGCAAGTCAGACGCAACAAATAGTTCTACCTATTTTAAGGGTAATTATCCCCTATTCGTGGGAAAGGGCACGTCTTCCCTTCAGGTACCGTTTAGTGAGCCTATTAATTGGCCGTCCACTTAGCCAGGCACCGTGCGTTTTGGACACAGCAGTTATTGCGTTCGCGAGTCGCACGTCGATAAGACGGACGAATGGAAAGCATTTGTGCCGTTCTGGATCAGCAATAACGACAGTGCTTTTACTTACGACTAGTAACGGATTATGGCTACTCCTATTAGCACCAGGAAGAAGCGATAAGGGTGTTTTTTTTTTTTATACATGATCTTAAGGATAAAAGCCGGCGTATTTCGAAATAACAATACGATCTGTTATACTGATTACCATTATGCTAACAATAACAATACCCATAACCAGAAAACGATGAACGACATGAACTCGTGAAATTAATGAGGCTTAGCAACGGATGCTTCGATGGTGGTGCCGCCGCCGCCGCCGCCGCCGCCGCCGCCGCCGCCGCGAGTGCTGCTGATGCGGTTCGCACACGAAAACGAAAGACAACCCCTGAAAACAGAACGAGTTCCGGCCAGCGGTAATAAGCGCGACTGCAGCAACTGTCGCAGCAACAAAAGAAATGAAAGAAGCAATGAGCAACCCACACGACGAACAATAACCGATCCTGTTTTTTCCCGTTAATTGAGAACGTGACTTTCAAATCAACGATTGTGGTACAGCACTGGGCGCAACGTCGGCAAACGAAGTCCCGCGGTGCTACTTTGCAATGGCAGCCGTTGCGTATCAGCGTCAACAAGCCCTCAGTGAGTAGCGACGGCTGCATTCGCAATTAAAGCGCGACCAGTAAAAGAGCAAACCAGCAGCAATACTCATTTCGGTTCTTTTTTCAGTCTATACAAACGCACTCGTGCACAAATGTACGTAGACACGTGTACGCTAGCTCGTAGCCTTATGATAGAATGGCGTAGTGGCGACTTAAAGGTTATCGGCCCGCCGAAGAACTTGTCATTGATAAAGCACCGGTCCTTTGCCGCATCTATCGCTATTTGTTTTCCTGCGGCTGGGTTAAATGAGTAGGTTTTGTAGCAGCTACGTTTGATTAGGTTTTGAAAGAGCTTTTCACCCGTGGGTAAAATATGGTCTCAACGATGGAGGACGACTTTGCTTGAGTTCACCAGATAGACGATGGGTCGACTTTTGGTGGTGATTTTCTCCTATTGGAGAGGTCGATCACGCCGCGAGCACCAGTCTACTGGGAATGTGTAATCCAGTAGTTGTCTCGAGGATGACGACGAGGCTGGCTGCGGTAAAAGGGGTCCTATTACGTTTCCGGGAGCACGTAGGTCGCGTAAAAATCGTTCTATAAATAAAGAAGTCGATCGATATGAAAAGTGCCTGCCAGATTTAGTGGCCTATTTGTAGGTAATAGCCAGTATAATACACAATGGTATGATAAGTAGTGCTAAGAGCATCCTTGATACGTAATGTTGTCTATGGCGCGTCAGTTATGTCAAATGTCACAACATCTTCAGACACGTAAGTGGACCAGTTTACGGGCAAAAACACTATGGAAAGTCTTGCGCCTTTCCTAAAGAAATTTACTTGCCATTTATCGCCATATTTGAGTTATTAGCTACACGTGCAGAGGGGAATGTTGATTTTGAGTTAGAAGACGAAGCAGGACAACGTCTAAGGGCCTCTCTTTCAGGAGATACTCAGCGGTTTTTCAAAGGAGATAGCCATCAATCGTTCGATGTTTGAGGTCCTTTAGAGTACATTATTAATTGCTACGATTTAATTTCTGTGTTGAAATATATATTGTTATTTTTCTACCTGATTAAAGAATAATGATAAATTCCCTAGAAAGAGCCGCTTTGGAGCCGCTGAACTTTTCAAAACTTGAAAGGTATCTTCTTGACTGTTGTGTATTCAATGGACGCAGCTACGTTGGCTCCCATCGCTTGCATTTATGTTCTATAAATGTAGTCGTTAAATACGGGAAATATATATCTAAGTCGAAATCATTTGAAGTTTCTATCAAATCACCCTCATTCTTACGCTCCTTTCTTTGCCTCAGGACGATTAACTGACCCGAACGAAAACCTCGGGTACGGCGGTCAACCTAATTTTCAGTTAGCCTGCTGGACATAGCCACGTTCATTGGCATACTTATTTTCTCTCCACTTAACTGGAGCCGCTGCCTACGCATAGCACCGACCAGAACACGCATAACCGATATCGTCACCACCAATATTACGATAGACATGACAATGATTTGCGAAAATCGAAGATCAGAATTCGACCGGTTGCGACTTCACGGACCGATCCTCGCCAATCGTTCATGACTGCTGCGATATGATTCTCAGCATGACCGTAGTCACCAACAGAGTCATGCACATCATCCTTTTACTTAGCTCTTTTTTGAGTAACGTTGCAAAGCCTCCGTTCTTCACTGGCGATGTTCCTCGTTTTCATCGTTTACCTCGTCATCGTTTTAGCTGTCAATCGGACCCTTCCATCTTGCATTGTCGAGCAATCAGATTCGTCAGCCTGCTCAGGCTCTGGGGTGGCTTTCAGCTGACATTTAGAAACGTTGTTGGCGTCGATATCATTATAGTCGGCTGCAGCTGTCCATTGGCGCGTTAGCCCTGCCGGTTATTCGTCACTGTTCGCGTTTCGTTGTGTCCGATTTCGTGTTTTTCGTTTTTCCTTCCCATCCTGTTCGTTGCTGCTGACGTCGTTGCCTATGCTGGGGTAGTTCTGCTTGTTTCTTGCATTTTTTTGTCGCAGTTGTCTCTGCGGCTTTCCTTCTCTGTGTTTTCGTTCGATGTCGTCAGTCACTCAGTCACTTGGTCGGTGCTAGGAGCCGCTGCGGCCCACATACGGCCGCTGGTCATCTTCCTATTCATCAGATATTTCGCTTTAGTTCTGCGATGCGACTGGTGCTCCCCAGAGCTTCTGCTTTACGGGCCCGTCACGACAATCGATACGCTCCCGGACCTGCCATCGATATAGAATGCGTACATCCATCTCTACATTATTATGCGCGGGTATACGACGATAACAACAACAATAGCGGCGTGACAGCGTCGAGAAGCAAATCTTACAGATCGTAAGTATGCCCGCGCAGCCTGAAAAAAAACCAGCAGCTACAACAAAGCAACATGGTAAGACGCACACGGTGAAATAGTTGTCGCAGCAATAGCCTTACCAGAATTGACAACAACAACAACAACAATGTGGAGAGACATATCGTTGTCATCATACGTTGATGTTGTTGCGCGATGACAAGCAACGGGATGACGCATCAAAAAGGGGATCGAGACATAAGCATTTGAGCTACAGGATCATATTCCTAGGGAAAAGGCATGATACAACAGCAGACGCCGACAGAAAGGAAAACCGCCAAAAGGTCTGTTGAGAGAGAACTACTGAAGAGAGATAAAAAGGGATAAAAAAAATCAACACGGTAATGCTGTGGCTGACGGTGACGGCTCTGAGCTGGAAGACGAGCACGAAGCCAAGCAAGAGGCGAGATATGCTCGTTCGTGATGATCGTATTATATGCATGTTGACGGAGACGTGTTGGTAGCGACGGTAGAATGGCAAGACGCCAAAGACACCATTTAGCAGAAACGGCGGCAAACGGCACCCGTTTGTTTGGCTGGTGCGAAAAAAGCTTGTTTTCCCCGGCCTGGCGCAGAGCCGAATTACCTGTTCAGTTTGTAGATAGAAAAAACAGAAAAAAAAACTCGTAATATGAAGTAATCCATTTTAATGTAACATAAATTGGATTCAGTTTATACAAAAAAATATAATGCAACTAACAGCTAAGTAAAAGCTGTGAAAGTCTCACATAGAAAGGGTCGCCGTACCGACACGAAGAGGCTTTTAGGTGTCGTATTAGCGCTAGGAGATTTCACACCTATACCAAAAAAGTACTGCTTTGTTTTTAAGAGCCGGCTGGTTAGCTTGTTAAAACCATCCGGGGAAAATAAGAATGTAAAAACAATGCCCACCTGGTGTATTCCTGACTTTTTTGAAATTAGCCTTTTTAGTAAATGGCTTTAATTTAGGTAGATGGCTTTCTAATTTTAATCGTTGAAAAGTCACTCTTAAATAAAAATGGTCATCTCTTGTCCTTGCCTGTAGCTGTAGCCAATGAACTAAATACTTTCGCTTTACTCGGAAGTCAGCAGCAACTAGAGAAATACCCCAGTAAATTTTCCTTGTGTCAGACATTACGCACTTCAGGTTCTCTTTACCATAGAGACTTTCCACGGAAAGACAAGTTTAAATGAGCTGAGATATTTCCTCGAGTTCTGCATTTGCACCAAACAACTTTAGTTTACCTGCATTACTAACTGCACCACTGAGATTTCAAAGACTACTAACGATTAAGTCTTTTACGCTTGATTACAGATGACGGAGTCGAGACCTGATCGTGACGGAGGTGACGCGGTGGCAGTAGCTAAATGGTGAGACCGGGGGCAAAGTCGTCCTTGCGTATTTACGCGGGACGCGTAACCATGAAGCGGATTGCCGGTCCCCTATTGCAACTGCTGACCGCTGGGTTACTGTTGGCGCTAATAGTGTGCTCGCGATCAGTCAACGCTGAGTACCTACAAGAGTTCGAAGTGCGTGAAAATGTCCAACTTGGTACAGTGATTGGGTTTATCGGACAGCCGAAAAATGGCGGCCAGGCACCCCCACCAGCTCCTCCGTATTATGTTGTGCCAGTGGCGAACAGCGATGTTGATCGTGATCTTGTAGTTGTTGCGACTACAGGCGAGATCCGGACAAATACAACTCTCGACAGAGAAAGCCGAGCAGAATACTCATTTACGGCAATTCCGGTCGCAATGGGTGAGAATGTGCGAGTAGTGATTCGGGTACAGGATGAAAATGATAATGCACCTCAATTTCCGGCCAACTTCATTCGAATAGAGTTCGCCGAGAATGCCCCTCGAGACGCGAAACGTACGTTAGCACCTGCCCGCGACCGTGACCTCGGACAATTCAACACGCAGCGCTACGAGATCATCTCAGGTAATACGAATAACGCGTTCAAGCTCTCATACCACAGGGAGCGGGACGAGGTTCTTTATCTCGATCTGCAGGTGAACGGAGTTCTCGATCGGGAGATCACACCGAGTTACTCGCTCGTAGTCGAGGCGTACGATGGCGGGACACCCGCTCTCAAGGACACGCTCCGAGTTAATATCACTATCCAAGATGTAAATGACAACCAACCAATCTTTAACCAGGGCCGGTACGTGGCAACGATCCCGGAGAACGCAACAGTAGGTACATCAGTTCTTCGCGTATTTGCGACTGATACTGATGCCGGACGTAACGGTGAGGTGCGATATTTAATTAGCCGTCGACAGAGCGACAGGAAGCAGTTCTTCACGATCGACGCAAAGACTGGCGAGGTTTTTGTCAACAAGCCTCTGGACTATGAAACGAAAGAGCTACACGAGTTGGTTGTCATTGCCCGTGACAACGGGGCACAACCCCTTGAGACGACGACGTTCGTATCGATCCGCGTCACGGACGTCAACGACAACACACCCACAATTAGCCTCATATTTTTGTCGGATGACACTTCTCCTCGAATCAGCGAAGACGCAAAAGTTGGCGATTTTATTGGACGAATATCCGTCAGTGACCCCGACTCGCGCGAAGAGTACGCCAATATCAACGTGACGCTCCATGGGGGTGACGGCCATTTCGGGTTGACCACGCGCGACAACGTCATCTACCTTGTTGTGGTTAAGGCACCACTGGATCGTGAGCAGCAGGCCAACTATACGATGTCTATAATGGCTACAGATCAGGGTGTACCCCCGTTGAATGCGTCATCTGTTTTCAATCTAGCCGTCACAGACGTCAATGACAATCCGCCAGTGTTCTCACAAACGGAGTACACGGTAAACATACCCGAAGTAGCGGAACCAGGCTTCTCTGTCCTGCAGCTGCGAGCAGTTGATCGCGATGTGGGCGAGAATGCTGAGCTTCGATACGAACTGCTTGACGACCCAAGTGGCTGGTTTAAGCTGGATGCTGTGTCTGGCCTGTTGACGACGAAAGCGTACGTCGACTGTGAAACCAATCCTAATCCGGTCCTGTCGGTCGTGGCCAGGGATCGCGGCACCCCGCGGTTATCGGCTACCGCTCGGGTCAGTGTGACTGTCAGCGATTTCAATGACAACGAACCACTCTTTGATCAGAGCTACTACAACGTGACAGTTGCAGAGGATACAGAAATGGGAACTTGTATCCTTAAGGTACGTAGAGAGGCAAAAATTAAATCATAGATTTCATACATATTGAAAATGACTGTAGAGGTAAAGGCAAAGCAAAAGCTAGGCTTATTTAGTCGACTACTAACGAAGCATGCAACCATGGAACGAATGTAAGGAGCAATCAGAGAAAAGGATGAAACGCTTTTTCGGCCTGAATCTGAAAAAGTTTTATTATATGACGTACTTAAATCAAAACTAGCGTGGAAATCTAGTTTAGAGTCGATACCAGTAGGCCTATCGTTCTCACCCGCATGCGACCCACAAATTGGGTTTCCATTCCTATCCTCAATAGGACTGTTAGGCCTTAGGAGAGAAAAGAGTTGAAAGCTTCATTACAGTCGAAAAGGTCTGTTTCGTCATTCGTGCACTTCACTCCCCATTGACATGTATCGAGCGGTGAAATTGCTATTTTACTTTTACCAAGAAAACGGAGAGTAGGAATTACCTTTTCGAATAGTTTTTGTCCTTTTTCCCCATTGAGCAAGCCTCGGCTCGGTGACATCACTAGATTACTATAATTTTCGGTCAATCTCTTTATGCAACGTAATGACTGCCGTCCAGTTGTCGTGTCCCAATGGTTGATGTCTAGTAAGTAAGGCTACTTGTGGATTCCAAAAGCTGGATTTTTAGAACCGCCTTTTATTGGTCTATTCTCAATTTGTTTTCCACTCTCACAAACTCTGTAATGTAACAATAAAATTGAATCGCCTTGGCCCTCACGCCATTGTTTTATCTCCTGTGATTGTCCTCTATCTACGTTTGGGCTTCTTCAGCGTCCACGTTTTCAAAATCCTCAAGGCACTGAAGACGGCTAAGACGTAACCATACGAGTATAGAAACAGTGTATTGACGACAAAAGCATGGGACGATTTCTAGTTGTCTTTCCTACGGCCCCTGGGGCCGTTTTTGCTTTTAGCTCCTGAAGAACAATGGGATGAAATCTACTATTGCATTTTTCTCCAGACCAGATCACGTTATCAATTTAGCTCGATGCGCCACCACTACATGTGTGGCTATACATATATATGTGGTAGCAATTGACTTTATGTTGTTATTTTTGCTGTGCTATTTAGTAGTCCTATTTCGTTCCTGTCCTCTTCTCTTGACCGTACTACTGTGACTCGTGAGTGTCACTAAATAGGCAATTCGACCAATTTCGCCAATCGCTCTTGGTGCAAAAGATGTTGAAGTAAACACGGTAAGTTTGGTGAGTCAAGCTATTGCCGCTGCTGATGCACTAAACCGTCAACGCATTCCGATCTGCCAGTGTTACCAGTAGCTACGTTGTGTCCACCCTTATTCCTCTGAAATTAACAGAGATCATTATCAGACCCCCAAATCAGACGTAAACGTATATGGACAAGTGAGCCCGCTCCCTCGAAAAGCATTATTCTATAGGTAGAGATCTTTGGACGAAATGGTAGCAGGCAAGGCTACGTAGAAACACAAAATTCCATCAATTCGTTTAGCAAAACATAATAAAAACGAAAAACAAATAAAGAGTAAACATGTACGAACTCTCTCTTTCTCTCTCTCCCTCTCGCTCTCTCTCTCTCTCTCTCTCTCTCTATATATATATATATATATATATATATTCAAGCGCGATTCCTGTAATTCTGGTAGCTAACCTGTACTATGATGACGTGAGGTAGCCCGATGGGATCCGACGGCATCCGAAGATATCTAACTGAGGTCTGGCCGATACCAAGAACAACAATCATAATGGCCGTCGTGGTCTGTTCGGTCTTCACCGTTGTTTTTCCCCACCGACTCACAGCTCCCGGACCGGTAGCCGATAGCCGGCGGACGGCGGCTTTCAGTTGACTGAAAGTTTTTCCGACTTCTGCTTCTGCCTACAGCAACAACAGCAAATTTTTTTGCATAGATAAATTCAGACGCACAGACGATGATAGTGGGCTAGGCAAATGTTGCTTTGCTCGTCCCTGTTAAATCTACGAGAGCAGCAGTTAGTTCTGACTGAAAGAAAGCAAGGATTCTACCACTGAAATAATGATGATGGTAAGGATGGAGATGTTCATGCTGATGGCCGCTACGTTGATCCTGATAGATGGTATACATAGTGTGAGCGTGTTCGCGGACGAAGTCGGGCTTCGTCGTGCCCTGTTCGTCGCGGTCGAGCAGTAGGAGCAGTCGGTAGCGATGGGCAGCGGCGTTAGCTGCCGAAGTTGCGGCGGTTGTAGTGGTAATTTTCTTGTGTTTAATTATTTGAAGTAGGGGAAAAGATGCAGGATAGATTTGAGTGACCGCATCAGCCAGCCGGCTATCCACGACGAAACAGAGCATTTGCGGTGGGGAAGCTGGCGTGAGAGACGTCATAGCAGCAAAAATGAAGGTAGGTGGAAGTGAGGAAAGCGACGAAATCAGCGACGTAGAGTTGCCATTGCTATGAAGGGAATCTTCACGACGACTCTCTGTCATACACACACACACGCACATGCACGAACGAACTCATAGTGCCACTCAGAATCAGAAGCCTTTGCTCTTGCTGCCGTTATTACTGCTGTTATTATGGCTACTACAGACGATGATCCTATGACAATTCTGTGACGATGTTGATATTGCTGCTGTTAGGGATATTGTTAAGGGCAGGGCAGTAGTGCTAATGGTCCTTTCTAGCGATGCTGGAGTCGCCACGGTTCGCCTGCCGCTGGTATTGGCAGCGGTGGCCTTCATCGACGTCGTCAACGTTGCAGAAACACGACTCTCGTTTCGCTCGAGGGACGCACGAATTTGTAGATGAAAGAATGAACGAAACGACGGGACAAGTACGTCGCTTTGCACGAAGTTCCTTCGGCTCCGCACATGCATAACTGGAATTTGACCGTATGCACCATATTATATCCGTGTGCGCATCACTTATATATCTGTGTGTGTATGTGCGGTTTTATGCTATGACGCGAATTGCCGCGGGCTGTTTTCAAGTGAAACGCACGCGTAGCTCAACATGCGGCTTCACGCGTGCTTCATGGTGATGATGACAATAATGATTCCGGTGACGCTTTGTAGAGCAGGAGTCCGCTGAGGAGGGTATCCGAGCGGTTGGTCAGTTCCTCCGAAGGTATTTGACTATGATGTGCGGGTTTGTGCTTTTATTGTTGCTACCGCTGTATATATATGTATATATATTCGGACAGCGAACAATGGAAGAAAAATGGGAAAGAACATAATACTTGGCGGCAACGCCATCAGTAGCACCAACGACTGCAATCACAATAATAATAATGACCCCGCGCAAGCACGGGTTGCATGATCACGTCGTCAGCGTTACAAACTGAGAATGGCAGTACCCATTACGAAGTACGAAGTATAGCTGCTTTTATCTAGCATCTGTTGTATGATTTCTATTTGTATTATTGTCATTCATTCTTGATCCATTTTGGCTTTTTACCTCGTTTGCGCTCCCGTGCATCTCAGTTAATGTTTAAATTAATCCCGAGCGAAACGATAACAGTTCCGCAATTGTGGATTCGTCGGCCACCAGTATTTAGGAAGGGACCATAGATGCCTTGCAAGGTGCTGCCCTACCTTCTCGTGATACCGTAAAATTGATTTTTAGATGACCCAGGAACTAGCAAGCGTTTTAAAAAGCCATTTACTTAACCAATTTTTATTCTGACAACATGAAGACTGGATCTATTGAGCTATTCTTGTTAAATGTCGGTCCCTTCTGTTTTTAGATGCATGATCAATATAGTATTCTAAACTGGTGTAAGCTAGGCGTTGGCTTTGTTTTGTCAGAAGAAGCTGCTCGTTACCCATATCGGACGCCCACCTTTTCATAGATGAGCTATACATAGGAACGAGGTTGTAACGCGAGTTGTTATTAAGTAAAAACAAAGAACATCTAAACGCCGCACCAAAGTTCAAAGGTATTTACAAGTAATAGTTAAAATCCGTTGCATTGTGTACATTTAGAAACAGTTCGTGCATAATAACTTGCATCTATAAATTGTCGCCAATTTAAAATTGAGGCCAACAAAAGCGACGGAATCAATCAGACATCGACGCCCAACTGGAAAAACTAGATGAGATGACGATCACAGGGAAACAGGACCCCATAACATTTCCTACCGCTGTCTAAACTGTACAGAAAAAATTCTGTTGTCATACGCGTCTACGCATAACAGTATAGAATATCCTACGTAGACGAACTTGTCTCGCGGTGCGGATAGACAATTTTACCCGACGATTGGCTAACGGCGAAGTCGACTTCTGCTATTGAGTTTAGCGGGTCCAGCAATATGGAACAAGCAGCCCACCGTGTCTCTATGAAGTTCTATTTTGAAGCTGCGGTTCACGATCGACCTTGCTGATTGTGCGTAACTGCTATTATAGGTGAAGATATAAACTTTTCAGGAGGACACTTTTAGACTTCCGGGAGTGTGTTTGTGAGGCTTAAGTCAATGCTTATTAGCACCACTTGAAAGTAGGTCTTATGCTAATTTTGTTTGAGAATAATGTTAAATGAAATCGAAGTGTGTCTATATTGAACGAGCCAGAAATATCATTTATGACATCAGTTATTTAAAAAAACATTAGGGAAAATTTACAAACTATTAAAGCCGCATTCTAGCAATCTCGACCATACCTATACCTAGTAACCGGCTTCACAACTCGAGTATCGTATCTAAGTGTTACGATAAAGGCCAACAGTGAAGCTCATTGAGCTTTCGATTTCTTCTCGTTTCAAGGTAGGCATTTTTTGATAGAAATTTTGTTTTTTCCAAAAAAAAAGATCGTGTCTTACGTCTGGTACTGCCGTTCATTATTGTTTCGGAAGGCTGAAATCTGAAGCTTAACCATGCGTATTACGACAACATTTGATGTTGCCGATGATCAATCTCAGCATCGCTGTGGGTCAAACAGTGGCATCCTTGTGAGCTTTATTACCTTTCTGTTAAACCAAATTTTAAAACCGTACGCATCGAAAAAAGGTCCTGAGTCTCTGAACGATGGAAGGC